GTATAGAAATTTAAGAGTGATAATCTTTGACAGATCCTTCGTGTTTTCTAAGGTGGTGATGGTAGTCTCAAATATTTCAGGCACTGTTACAAGGATTTTTTGAGCAATCCTTGAATTTTCCAGAGAAGAACCTAATAATTTGACACGATTTGCTATGTTGAGTAGTCTGTCAGAGTACCCATATATGGTTTCTATCTCATTCATCTTTTGCAATTCAAAGTCACGACGAACCAAGTTTAACACCTGCATCCCTCGAATTTTTTCATCTCTTCGGATTTGAGATAATCCCAAATCCCCTTTGTCGTTTTCAACGACATGATACGAGTGAAGATCGTGGAGGAAACCGCAACAAATAGGTAAACTTTTGCCTCGGACTTCTTTGTCTTCTTCTCCTTTTGTGCTTTAATTTGTGCTACGGTGGGATTTTCAAGGAGAAGAGGAATGTCACAGTCTTCTTCCACTACTTCCCAGAGATCCAAAACTTCCAGGTATGTCTCCATGAGAACTGCCCAGATCCGGTAGTTGTCTCCGTCAAACATTGGAGCAACTGCGAAAAAACTAGCTTCGATCTCCATTGTTGCTCAAACTCACGCACATGTCCCTTAATAAGAGAGCTCTAATACCAAATTATTGGTTTCTTGAAATGAGAAAGAAGAGAAAACTTAAGAGAATTGTTGTAGATTGAAGGGAAAATTAGAACTGCATCTTTTGTGTAGCCTTACAATATTTAAACTTAGAGCTAATAACAAACTTCCAAGAAAAAGATCTAAAAATCAGCCAAGAAAATAACAAGAAACAAAGTCAAGAAAAATAGCAACTAACTTTTAAGATTAAGGAACAAACTTGGCTGAATTAAACCTATAACTCAATAAACAGTCCTAAGCATGTATTCCAACACAAGGAATCTGAGCAAAACCATGAATTATAGCAAAATTAGGTTTTTGACATTAAATACACAAGAATTGGGTGGAATGCTTGAGATTTCTTGCTGATTGAGCATGCAATCCGAGTGAAACCACAAAAACATTGATAACCTAATTTTCTATTAGGTCTTAGACATATATATACATAGGAATTGGGTGGCTTGCTCTGATTGCCATCCAAGCAAGCAATCTATAAGCAAAACCACATGTTTGAGCCAAAACACATGTAAAGTTTATTGTGTTGAACTGGAGAAAGAAGATGGAGAAAAGTGAAGTTTATTGAGTCGAAGCCTCAGGCCTTGTCACCGCCGAATATTTGCCGTCCAAGAATTGTGGTTTTGTGTCATTGCTCGAGAGGAGAAATTGGAACAAGATAAAGGGAGAGGAAGTGAGCTTTGGTGCGTGTCGTCGTTATATTAGATCATTCTAGCGGATTGCCAACTGAATTCAGAGTGTAACCTAGCTATTTTTAAGTTATATCCGAACTGGCTTGTTAATGACAGCTGATTTTTCAGTCGGTTTGCTTGACCGGCTGATCAATCCGTTGGTTTAGAAACCGCTACAATTAAAATTATAATCTAACCATTTAATCAGTTGGAAAAGAATTGGCTCACTTTTTTAGCCGATAATGCTATCGAGTAAAACATGTATTCATGTTATGCCTACACACACACACATATATATATATATTAGTGTTCTCACATCACTTGGGTAAGGCCTTGCTAGTCCCCTACCCTTGGGTGTAATTCTTTATCTCAAGAGCACCGTAAACACAAATATGCAATGCAATGTGTTGTGTAGAATTGTCTGGCTATAGGTTTTAAAGGAAACTCGCCACTTGAAAAGGAGATTAGAAGTTAAAAATTATGAAACGTATGGTGAGTTGTAGTTTGAAAGGAATATGCCCATAATGAAAATTAAGGAGAAATTACGTAGGACTGTCGTTAAAACTTTAGTATATCAGATTCTTCTTAAAGAGAAGTCCCAAGATTTGTGTTTTGAGAATTTAGTAAGAAAGGATATACTTGCTCCTGCATGGAAAAATAATAATAAAAAAAAAACTTAAAAAAGTATCAATATATATATTTGTTAGTGGTCTTACATCACTTGGGTAAGGCTTGTAAGAGGAATAGTATGAATGCCAAAAAAAAAAAAGTGCTCCCTCTCGAGTATAAAGCATGATAGAGAATTTTAAATAAGAAAGAGGCACAGTAAAGTCTTGGAAGAAAAAGAAAAGGATCATTTCCCCCTTGGGTGGTCTTCTTTATGTATAGATTTGGGTTGACTCAGGAGCACTATACAACACAAATTTGTAATGCAATGTGCTGTGTAACGTTTTCTGGCTAAAGATTAGGGAAACTCGCCACTGGAAAAAGGTTAACAATTATGAAATGTTTGGTGAGTTGTAGACTTTGGAGAGATTAAGGAGGTATTCCTTTGTACAATAGTTAAAACTTGAAGTCCCAATAGTTATGTTCAGAGAATTTAGTAAGAAACAATATACTCACTTCTGTATGGAAAGATAAAAAAAGCCCTTTAAAAATATGATGTAGACTAGTTCAGAAGAAAGCCTGACAAACGCCTCAGTTCTTTATCCTTTTTATTTCTTTGTATGGTTGAATTGTGAATATTGTAATCTTTTGGAAATGAAATCAATATTTTTTTAACATTGATTTTTTTTTTGAAGTGATATGTATGTATAAATGAATGATGATTTGATGAGCACTATGTATTTGAATTAACCACATGAATTGAAAATAAATGAATTTAATTGTGAATTTATCGAGTTTAATAATAGGATTGACAAATTTTGAATTATTTATATATAAATTTTTCGAATTAATGAACACTCGATATACTTTTTTGGTGAAATTATTCCGTTTAATTAGCAACATCTTTTAATTTTTTTATTTTTTTTTAATGTGAATCTTGTTATAATTTCATGGAGACAATTGTTTAAGATTGTTGTAGAAGAGACTTGCACGCTACTCATTACTGATCTTGTCGCGAGAAGAGGGAGCTCTATCTTCTTGGCTTGATTTGTGGTCTAAGAGTATATTAAGTGCTTGAGATTTTAGATGCTTGAGAACAATTATAATTTGTAATGAATAATAGCTGATCAATAGTGAATTTAATAAGTAAAAACCAATTATATAATTAATTGATGCATAATCGAATTTTAAAATCAAATGAGCCGTTCAAGGGTGTTATTTAAAAAAAATATTAATATAAAATATATGCAAACTTTATTAAATTTGAAGACTTTATATTTAAATTATTTAAACTATTCAAAAAATTAATTCTTTATATTTTATATCAAAATGATTTCTTATTCTTTATCTCATAATTTTTACATTTTTTTTTCATTTTTTTTAACACTAGTTTAAATTAATATTATTTTCTCTATTATAATAAATAAGCAGTTCCAGGTCAAATTTGGAAAATTAATCTAGCTCAAACTAGGCTCGAGTTGAGAGTTTCTCCAGCTCGGCTCGGACTCATTTACACCCCTAGAGTCTATATTAGAAGAATTACAGTTGATACGTCTTGATCTGACATCCATGCTAAATAAAAAAATATCTAAGGTGATAAAAGTATATATATATATATAACAATCTTGAAAGAAAAAAGACTAAATGATTTCTCTAATCTGTGTTTGTTCTCCATCTGTAAGTTGTCATCCGAATTTTCAATTTATCCTTAAGCCAATGCATCTTTGTTCTATTTTAACTAAATTGCAAGTGAAGAAGTTCTCTAAAGTTGACTAAGATATTATGTATTTTAATAACAAATATTTATTCTTTAAGAGTGAATTTGCCTGGACAAGTATTATAAGTGCAAAGCATATAAAGATTAGAAGAGTTTTAAGGATACAATCTTTTGGAAGTTATCTCTTGGCCATATTTTTGGCACTTCATTGCCATTGCCATTATGAGTATTTAGCTTATATGTTTTTGATCCGACTCGTTCTTGAATGATGTATTATTCCGACCTTGTCGACTTCAACTTGCACTATAGGAAAGTCTGAGAAAATTGATGAATAACCGGTAGACTCATGATCGTCGGTTATTTTCGATGACTAAAGCAATGAAAATCTACAAACACAAGGGCCAACGAGAAACCGACAGTTTGTGATTGTCGGTTCTTAATTTACTTAAAATTGATGGCTTAGGCTAGAAGGCATTGGTCAAGTTTCGTATAACGAACGACGTGTTGAAACACTTATTTCTCTCTTTTCTTTGCGCGCGAGTGCTCTTAACTAAGCGACTTGTGAGGCTTTTGATTTTTCTAAAAAAACTATATATTTTTGGCGTTTTTTCCCTTGAATTAAATGTATATTTCATTTTTATTACTCATAAAGTTTTTTTTTTTGATATTTTATCTGATAGAATTTATGATTTTCAGACTTTTTTGGTTTTAGGAGATTTTGAGAAATTTCATCAGATTTTATTATATTTGGTTGTTTCTCATTCTTTTTGCATTATTGTCGTATTTTAAATTTATAGCTTGTTGTTATTGTAATATTTTGATCCAAATTGGTCTTTTGGTTTTATATAAGTTTTAGGATAATATTTAGGTGTGATATGTTAGTAGTTTGAATTTGGTGGTATGTATGTAAATGCAGCACATGTGAATGACCAGCATTAGATTCAGGGGAATGCGAGAAGATTAATGCCTTCTAGTATTTAGTGGTGATGAAATTATGTTTAGCATTCCTTGAAACATAATTGAATTGACATCTTGAAATTTGACAAAGACAATTCCTCTTCTACACCACCATTTTGTAAAATAAGCCACTATTAATCGGTGAGAACATGTTTTCCGCTAACAAAAATAACTAAACCGAGACTTTGAAACTGCAAAGAAAATTCATTCTGTTGGCACAGCAGGACCCCACATATGAAGTGATCCTTTAGAGGTAATCTCACACTTCTTAATTGATATTCTTGATGTATCGGAGCTTCTTAAAGCAATTGAAGTCTGGAGCAGGATACAAGGAAATTTATTATGATTAAATAAAGAACAATGTCTGTCAACATTAAATTTTGTTCAATGAATGAAGTTATGAGAGTTTACCCTAGCTTTAGTACGTCTTCTTGCATTTCACTTGTTTGTTTCTGTGGCGGGCTTAATTCAAGGTCAGTTGATGTCGGACAAAGAGAGCCACTACTAGTAGATCTCCCCATAAATCTTGCAATTGCGGCGACCTAAAAATGGATTTTCATGTTCAGGCAGTACATAGAACTTCTATCTGGAAATACTTGGCTTAAGTTTTAGTGTTAATGATGCTGGACACTTTGATGAATATTAGCGCTGTATATGAGGCAAATTTTGGCAAGCTCAAGTGCTATTTGGCTAATTATTGGACCGAATATGATTGAAAACAAACATCAAGCCTTTTAATGTACTTATAATTACCTTTAGGTGCAATTCCATGTTTTCTTGCTGAGAAAGTTTTAATTTTTTGTAGAGCCTCATGTTTTCTTCTTCCATATCATCGACCTGCAATGGATATATTGAGTTGAGATGTTGATGTTGTAAACATCTGATCTCAGATGAGATGAGAGGGGCTACCTTTCTATGTAGTGCTTGAGCTTCATCGATTAAAACTTGATCCTGCCAGAGAGATTAATATATGATTATATAGAAATAATGAAAATGATGGCTGTATTTAGACATTGCGCTTAAAGTATTTGATCGAAATACCTTTTTCTGTCGGATCACTCTTAAGCTTGTTTCCATCTGGCTCTCTAATGTTTGTAGCTCTTTGAGACCGAGCCCATTAACATCTCCCATCAGCTGCCTGTAATTATCAAGTTAACTGTTGGTAAAAATTTTTCAAGATCTCATTCTATGATTGGTTTCATTTGTCAGAATAATCTGCAGTTGATGTGATCATGCAGTTATTCATGACTCAAATTCTCAAATAAAAAAAATTTTGGTTTACACTTGCAAACTTAATGGCGTAGAGAAAATATTGACAAAAATAGCTTGAAGAATTTAAATATATTCTCATTTTACTTGTCAATAGGCCTCTTAGATTTACACACACTTATGATGCTTTGTTATGTGCTTAAATTTTCATAAATACTTTTTTGTCCTTGTTACTCTGACTTTGACATGGTCAGGGGAAGGAGGCTTCTGATATTTGATATTTTCTTTGAAAAGGATGGTTCATCAGCTTGTGTTCCTACAGTCTCGGTTGAGAGTGCACTACTAGCAGAGTATATGTGGAGGGCTTAAAATTCATTGGACATTATGAGAGTATCTACCTCTGCTCTTCACTAATCTCTCTCCCAACTACAGAAGGAAAATATTGTTTTTTGGCAAAAGGATCTTTGATAAATCTTTCTACTTAATTTATTTTGTCCTTTATTAATTAAGGTTGCTGGTTCTGAAAATGGAGATTTAATTTATTAAATTGGAGATTGGCGAAGATACTTGATTTTGAAGTCCGAATTTAGTCAAATGGGAAAGAAAATGTTCTCTATTGTTTAGTAGTTAAAATATACTTTTAAAACGGCGTCATAAACTGGATTATTTTGATCGAAAGTCATGGTAATTTTTCGAAGGCTTTATAAAACAGAGTCATGATCTGTAGAAGAAGTTATATGGAGGACTAAATTTTGATTAACATGTAATTCAAACATTTTCATGAATGGTTGAGCGGTTCATGCATTTTAGAAACACTGAATATTAAATATTTCAAGAATTACATTCTGTTGAATGCCTGTTTTCATAGAAGCTGATTGGTTATTTTCCTTAAATAGGATATATTTGTATTTATATTTTTTGTTTTTATTGAGTGCACATGTAGACTTTAGAAGAAAATTGTAGGTGATATAAATTAAGTTTAATAAAAACTGTATGTAATTCTAGACTTCTAGTTTACCAGCTGTTTTTAATCATACAGATATTATTCTTTTTTTCTTTTCGTTTTTCTTTATTCAAGCTTATATTTTGTAGCACAATTAAAGTTAGAATTGCTGTGAATAGTTCTTTTATATTGTTATTACCCTTAATAGTAATAAAGGCTAGCATGTGTGTCAAATGTTATTTTTAGGACAAGCAGGGTTGAAGAGGTTGACTTAATTGGATTACTCCAATAGTCTCAAGGCTGTTATTATTGATTCATTGTGAAAGGAATCCTTACTTCTCGGATAACAAAGTGATTCATGATGGCTCTATCATGATATTCCCTGTTCTATTTGCTAATTTTTATCATTCTTGTCATGAGTGGCCCCGGTGATTAATGCATGTAAATTGTGGCATAAATGTTTGCCATGTTCTATTTAAGGAGGCTTGTTTATTTATTTATTTTTTATTCCAAGGAAGCGCAGTTTAAATTATATCCGCCAGTATAGTTGCAGCACTTTGAATTGTTGCATTTTTAATTTTTCAATCTTACAAGAGCAAAATTTATTCTACTATTTTATTTTAATTTCGACCGATCATTTTGTAAACTGTTTTCTGATTAAATGAGACTTTTTTCATCTTTTTTTTTCTTGTTGAATTAAACATTAACTATAAAATTCACACAGGTAAATTTATGCTTTTGATTTTTTTTATCCTCTAACATGCCATGCATTCAACGTGCTGTTCAGATATTAAGAGAAGAGAAATTACCGATAATTTTCTTGCAAGTTATGCAGTTGCTGTCTCAAGCTCGCCGCTTCCTTCTGCCAATTCAAGTGGGCACAAAACAAAATCGTTTGATAATTCTAATGCAGATTTGGTGCAGGTAAATCAAATAAAAACTATATTATTTGTGAAAATTATCTGCCAGGATGTTCCAAAGAACTAGTGCATAGTATCAAGAAAGATTTTGCTATATTACCGATTTGGTCAAATTAAATAATAGATATTGTGTAAACTTTGTAATATTTTTAGCTGAATGTATATTTAAAAACCTGTTTGCATGCTAAAACATGTTTTTAAGCTTGCTAAAGGTTTTGCTGTCATAGAACCTTTCTTTTACTTGGCATAGTTTAAGGTTGGCTTGATTTTGTGTCATTCGAGGCCCTTTCTACTAACATTCTTCATTGGAAATCACCATTAGTCATGCTATTGTGATTATTGTACAGGTGATATTGTTTTTTGAATATTTATAACTTGGGTGTTTACATATAAAATTATGATGCAGAGGTTAAATAGCTTTTTAATGACGTTTAATCCATGTAAAAAATCTTTTTTTTTCCCTAATGGTAGTATTTAAGGCATTCCATGTCGCATTTGTCATTTGTTTCTTATGAAAGATTTTTTTCCTTCTGCTTATTTATTTAGGTAGAACTGTAATGTTATATCCATTTAAATGAGTGTTTTTTATGCATTAATTACCCATAAAATTTATGAATAGCTTTATGATGCTAGTGTTCCTTCCAGAAGTGGGACTGCTATGAACCTACACTGATTCAGCAGGGCAGGAATAGGGTCGGCCGACCCTTCTTTGGGCCAAGGGCGGCACCCCTTTTGGTTACCTCAGTATTATATATATGTTATTTGTTGTGTTTAGGTCAGTTTTTGATGTGGTTTTTTGCTGAGACAGCTGCCAGCGTCTTCAATTCTTCCTTCTAGGGCTGTATCAAAGGCTAGAAGTTGTTTTGGCTATAACTCATTCTGGGATAGTGTTTATCGATCGTTTTCTGCATCCCACAGCCTTGCCTCCACTTCCTTTGTCACTGTTTTTGCTGTGGCCACCCGGAAAACAACTCCTTTGTTGTTTTTCTAATGTCGCCTACCACCCAACCGCCTCCCATCTTGCTGCCTTACCTTCCAACCAACTCCCACCTGCTTCCAGCCGCATTCCTTGTTTCCGTGAACCTCCCCGACCCTTCCAACACCCTGCTAGTCTCCTCGCCAACCATCTGACAGCCAATCATGATCTTCTATAATTGTTTTCTGACCATCTAACCCTCCACACTTACTATTTCTTTGCAAGTTGCAGCATTACCACCCTCAACCTAAGCCCTAGTTGGGTATGTGTTATGTCTCTTGTTATTTCCTAGTTTTGAATATCTTTGGTTGCAATCCCTATTTGATTTCAATAATAGAAGTTACATCTATGTTTTCATATATGTTAACTTGGATATCATTTATTATTAGAGCTAGACTAACCTAAGTTTTATCCCAGGGTTCTTAGCATCCACCATTATAGCGTTGTTGTAATCCCTATTTGATTTCAATAATAGAAGTTACATCTATATTTTCATACTATGTTAACTTGGATATCATTTATTATTAGAGCTAGACTAACCCTAGTCTTATCCTAGGGTTCCTAGCATCCACCATTATAGTGTTGTCCCGACACAAAATCTTTCTTTCTTACTTTACATAATCTCTACATCTCCTTCCACCGACTCAGTTCCCCACCCTAATCATCCGCCACAAATAGGGTCGTAATCTAGCCAAGTATATCCTTATTCGGACTTGGCTTAGTGTAACTATAAGTTGTTAATGTTTGACTTGAGTTTATGTCGAGCTTTCATATATTGTTCAGCTTGAATTTTTTATATATTTCAAAGTTTGAACTTGATTTGTACTTAATTTGTTTATGAAAAGTGAATGAGTATTTAGAGCTAAATGTTCAAATGAATATCTAGATTTTCATATAAGAAATTTAATAAATAATTTAAACTAAATCCTAACAATCAACAAAAATGACAAATAAAGCCCTACCAGATCTTCAATCTGATTTATCCTCCATTTTTCCTTGAATCCCGTATAGGTCTAAACAACAAAAATGACAAATCTAAACCATACAGGATCTTAAATTCCATTTCTCCTCTTTTTTGTGTTACATCTCGGATATAGTAAATGAAATTTGAAGAAGGATTTATAAGATTTAAATTAGTTGAAGCGTGTGAAGTGTGGTGCGAGGAAGGATGAGAAATGAGGGTTAATCAGGTAGGACTTAAAAGCAGAGTGGAAAGGGGAGATATACCGAGCCAGCGTTTCAAAGATCCTTGCACACTGCAATCTCATCATGCTTTTGTTACTTGCATGCCCTAGCGACTCAGGGTTTCATATGTTTCAGACAAAAAGGGAAAAGGTGAACTTACACGAGGTTAGAAGGAAAGTGAGGTATGTGAGGGTTTAAAATTAATTTTAAGGGGCATTTAATACAACAAATTAGTCTCAAGTAATGTCACATTTAACACCTAGTTTAATAAATAAATATATAATTAATAATTAATCTAAAAAAATTATTTATATAATAATATACTACTATTAAATATTAAATTAAATAAATTCTAGTTAATTAAATTTTATTTTTTATATATATATATATATTAAATATGAAACTTCATTGAACTTAATATCGAGTATTTAACAAGTTACTTGTTGAATAACAAAGAAGTTTATTTGTGAGCATAAATGAACAAATTCGACTACATTCATATTTAGTTCATTTAAGCTTTGAGGTTTTAAAAATTGTTTAAGCATGTTTATTTACTAATTTGAACGAACATGATCGAGCCTTACTCAAGTTGAGTTCGGGTTGTTTATCGAGTGCATTTGTTCATTTAAAGCCCTAGCAACAAAGGCAATTGCAAGAACCTGATCAGGAGTTTACCATGAAAAAGTTACAGCGGTAGCTCCATCAAGTGTTACAACTACTCGATGACATTGAGGAAATGACCCATGAAGACGTTACCAATGAGAATGGTAGGAAGATCCGAAGAGGAGAGGCAAGGACACCTGAATCCCTTCCATAGGGATGATTCGAATGGAGAAGAAGACATTCCGCGATGCTTTGGGATACATTATCAGAGGAGGTCAAGAGATGAAGTACTCGTTAGAGGATGCATAGATGAAATGCCCGTTAGTGGATATAGAAATGAAGTGCGTGTTAAAGGATACAAAGATGAAGTGTTTGTTGGATACAGAGGCTCAAGAGTGAAAGTAGACATACTGGATTTCAAGGGGAGAATGAATCTGGATGATTTCATAGAATAGTTGCATACCGTTCAGAGGGCCTTTGACCAAAAAGTGAAACTAACTGCTAGGGCGCCCGTTGTGGTGGGTAAATTTGAATAGGGAGAGAAATAGAGAGAGGAGTTAGATTACTATCTTGGAAAGGATGAAGAAAGAGTTGCAGCGATAGTGCCTACCTAACCCTGTTGGTAGATCTCTTCATGAGGCTCCAATACTTACATCAGGACTTGTCGGTCGAGTATGCAATAAAGTTTATGTTATGAGTGGAGACTGATTTTATTGAACGAGGTAAAACCCCAACACGTATGCATCGGGTTGTGGGCCTAAGCGCCCACTTGGGTGCTGCTCGAACAAAAGAGCCAGTGCCTAAACACCAACTTTGGGCGCTGCTCTTAGTCCCGAGAGACCAGCGCATAGGGGTTGGTCTATTGGCGCCTAGGCACCTATTATGAGGCATCAATATAGTGTGTTTGGCGCTTAGGGGCCATGTTTGGGTGCCTAAGCGTCCAGTGTTGTTACCACACAAAAAAGTGGTTTTTAAGCCAATTTTTTAGCATGGATCGGAGATCTTGTTGTTGTCTTCTTTCGGTGTACTTCGATGAGAATCCCAGTGAAGGTTAGGAGTGTCTAAGAGATGGATTTTGGTGATTCAGCGTGGTTTTTATGTTGGATCGCAGAGGGAAGGATTGTAGAATGAGTTCTGTAAGTTTTCTTTGTGTGTTGAGAGAACTTGTGAGTTCTTTGTAAAACCTTTTGAGCTTCATATTGGAAATTTCTGGTGGTGTGACTCTGTGATTTTTTTCCGTTCTGGGGTTTTTCACATAAATTCTCGTGTGCTTTTTTGGTTGTTTTGATTGTGCTCATGTTTTAATTTTTTGATGAAATTTTTATCAAATTGGTGCAATACCGTTATTTCGATGTGTGGTTTAGTTTCTAATTGACCTTAAGCCATGGTAAAGTTGGAAATTGTTTGTTGTGTGATTCCTAATAGTTTTGCCGCTCCTTTACGCAAGATGGTAAACTCATAGTCATACTTTTTGGAGAGTAAGAAAGTGCATGTGTCCTTGCCATCAAAGAAGTGCTAGCCGGATCAATTTTGGTGATGACAGAGGAGAACATGATAGAAGAGCTAGTTTCAGACATGACAATCATTAAATAGGGTGTTTTGGGACATGATATTTGATAGCTTATCGCCACGACCACCACTGATCTGGGAGATTCAAGTTTCCATCACTTTAAATCGGGTTGAACCAAGCTTGGGTTACTTTTGGAGGATTCTACAAAATACACTTTGGCATGAAATCCTTCTTTAGCTTCGCGGTGTATCCCCATATACTTGGACCAATATGGATGTTTGCTCGCATGGGGAAGACTTCTCATATGTTGTGGGAAGACTTCTCATATGTTATCAAGATGCGCATATCGATGTAGTTGGAACCCTTCAATCCCAATAGGTTACAGTCATGCTTGATCTGATTTCATACTATGACGTAATAAAAACTTCAATAAATGAGGTCGAAGCTTCCCCAATTATGTGAGACTAACTTATATGCTCCTTCCCTGGGCTAGAAGCAGGAGAACCAAAAACCTGGATGAATTTAGTAGAGCGGGAATAGGGTCGACTGGATGACCCTCCTTTGGGCATAGGGTTTGTCACCCAATAGGAATGGGTCCCCCCTTAGTCACCCTAATCTTATATATATGTTATTTGTTGTGTTTAGGTCAGTTTTTGATTTATTTTTTGTCAGGGTAGCCGTTGATGTCTCTATTTCTCTTTCCTATGGTTATATATTCAATGGTGAGAAGGTGCTCCGACTATAACTCGTCATGAGGTGATGTTTATTTACCTTTTCCTGCATCCCCACGACCCTCCCTTTACAGTTTTCGTCACTGTGTTTGTTGCATCTACCCGAAAAATAGCTCCTTACCACACAACCCCCTCCTATCTTGCTGTCATCCCTTTCACCACCTCCCACCTTGCAACGACCCCCTTCCAGCCGCCTTCGTTGCTTTCGTGAACCTCCTCGATCCTTCCAACACCCTGCCAGCCACCTCACCATACACTTGCTGCAACCATCTCTGCCACCGACCTTTCAGCCATTCAACAGCCAACCGTGGCCATCGATTGTGTCTTTCTATCCATCTAGCATGAGGATTTTGTGGCTTTGCTGGTGTGGTGGCCTCCCCCTGCTATTTTTCTTGAAACTGAATCTTAAGAAATTGAAGAGGAATAATTATTTTTTTCCTCCAAGAAACTATACTAAGGTATTTAAAATTTAATCCTGAAAAAATTACAGAAAACACACACTCTAAAATTAATAAACCATACTAATGGCTGACCATAGGATTATATTATTCCATAGATCAACTTCAGGATATTGTGTTGTTCAAAGAAAATCTCATGACGTGGAGTAAAAAAATATTGATTTCTCATGATTGAGTGCGAAATTTGAGTTAAAAGCAATTGCCTAAAATTAACCTTTAGTCTCAAAATCAAGTACAATATGTGAGTTTAGAGCAATTGCTCAAGGATTATGCAAATTGCTGTGGTGAAAACTGAAAAATAATACATGAAAATTATAATGTTGCGTATAAGTTTAATGAGGTTTTTATTCATAAAAAGTTAATTTTTTCGATTTTCTTCAGCAGGGATGACTACGCAGGAATTTAAATACTTTTCATATCTTTTCTAAAATCTTATGCTCTGTCATAGAAAAAATTGTGAGAGCTCTTTATGCCTAATTTATAATTTATTGAACTCAGAAAGAGGATAAAGGCTCTATCATCTTCACAGTCAAAATGACAACCGATTAAATGCAAATCTCATGTTTATGTACCTTAATCTCAGAAGTTGAATGCATCACAAGCTGATGATCCTCTTTCACCTTGCTGTAGCGTTCAATCACTGACTTCATGCTGAAATAGAGAACATCATGATTTTTAGTTTTTTAAAATTTTCATGGTTGTATTGGTTAGAATACTATTTTTAGTAATAAACATGCTTAGATGAATTCGCATGTACTTGTGTTAATATTAGATGTACTGACATCCATAGATTTTCTTTCTTTTCTTTTTAGCCTCTACCCTGCTAGAACTTTTTAAAAGTATTTCCTTAATTACTTGTGTTAAGCTTTCATTATCATTATCATAATTATCATCATGAGCACTATTTTAAAGTTTTCGGGGTCAGACCTACAATTCCCCGTTCTTCATTCATGCTTAATGTTTATTAACTAGGGAAAAACAATGTATGTTGTTGTCCTTTCTATTCTAAATGTTTCTCTTTTCTCTCTCTTCCGTCAACAAACTACCTTGTTGGCTCTATTTTCTTTTTCTTTTTTTTTTTTTCGGGCGATCCTTTCTTGAATAGACCTGAACAATGTTCATTGGTTCAAGAAAACCAAAAAAATGCATAAAAGTGCTTTTAATCCATTTAATGCAAAAGAAAGACAAATGCTTCTTCCGAAATCATGTTTGATTATCAATTCTGCTACTTGAAACTATTGATTGGCTACTTGAAACTATTGATTGGTGACGTAAAGTAAATTATGATATTCTTGGCAGTTCATACAGTTCCAACAGATCGTGTATTGTTATTTACAATTAGAAGGCTTCCTTGTTTCTACAAACTTCGGGGGGTTGTTGCCACTTTGGAATTGCAAGCCTTAAAATGTCACTTCTAGAGGTTGTTTGAAATTGGCATATGCAGCTTCAATTTTGTGGTTGTGCAGGAAGTGAATGAATTTATAACAATATTGCATTTTCTCTTATTTTTTATTACTTGCTACGTGTTGCAACATTGGAATTTCATAACAAACAAACTCCCTTGTTGTCTCTATTCTCTATTTTCACTTGTGCAGGAAGTGAATATTGCATTATGTTAATATCATTTTTTTGGGTGATTTAATTTTTTTAATTTTAATTGTCCTTATAAAGTTTTTAATTAATATCCTACTCTCGCATCCACTACAAATAGAACTATTTAAGAGGGGTTTAGTTTCTCACAACCATGAAACAAACAAAGAGAAGAGCGGATGAGATAAAGGAGAGGGCAGCCATCCAAGAAAGCAAAGTTTTTTAGTGCTTATAAGAGCAGTGTCCGGTTGCTTCAAGAGAGAAAGGAGTTGTTTCCTCTTTTTCTGTTCTAGCAAGAGGAGGAGCTATCAACAATAGAAAGACAGTGCTCGTTTAAACTCCTACAACAAAAGGGTAAGGGAGTACATACATTAAAGCATTTCCTTATGTTTACCCATCATCTTTGCAGCATGTGTTTGTGCTTCTTATCAGCCATTGAATTTGGCAAAATGATATCTCTATCTATATCTTCTACTTTGTATTGTATAATCCCTTTATGCACCAATCTTGAAGCTCTCTGAAATATTTGATCTCTGTGGGTTTTATGTAGGCGGTGGATCTTATAGCCATGCAAAACTAGTCTCTTGTGTTTGTGATCTTTGTCATATCATCACATTTTCAACTGTTTTTCACTCAAAAGTATATTGCTATCCTAAATATATGAAACTTAATATCTTGTTAATTAGTAAATGTCCAACGTAGTCCCTAGATTTGTTTTAAATTGCTGACTTTGTTGTACTAGTTTAATTTATTCCATCAATTGACCAAATTTTAAGCAAATATATCTGTCCATTAACTTTGATTTGTTTGGATAGAATTAGTGAAGGAGCGCTTTTCAAGGGCATTCTGAATTTTTGGAATTAATCTTACTACTTGATACCACTCAAACTAGCGAGGTTGTCCTGAAAAGTAACCGGTTGAAATCTTGTAAAATAAAGCGCTTGAATTTTTTAATAGATGAAATCAATTCTTTGATGAAGTTAATGAGCTTAAAACATAGTTTTACACGTAGAAAATAATCAAAATTTATGCATGTGAAAAAGTAGATTCCAATCTCGATATAAAGGAAACATTATTTTGAATTGTATTTCTGAAAAGAGAGAAAATATGATGCTTAGATAACTTAGGTTGTTTAATAATGATGCTGATAAAATTATAAAAGTCAATTTTGATGTACATGATGAAAAACTTATAGCATACTAATAATATGATGAAATTGGTCTTAAAATTTCTTAATAAGTAGATGCTAGATTTAGATGTCTTTTATGAATGACAAATCATATCTAATAAACAATGAATAGGATTTGCTAAAATTAAATTCATTGGACAAGTTAAAATTATTGTATAGCGTGGAGGTATAAAATGAAAGGAATATACTATTATATGAGCTCAATTGAAGAGTTTTTAAATGAAAATGATTTTTCATCCTATAAGGGATTAATTGCTTGATGAATTTAATCTTTTAAAAGATGACAAACTATAGTTGAATAAATGAGCAAATTTAAGTTTTGTATGAGACCAAAACTATTAAGAGATTTTACATCTCTCATCATATTCCATCAATGGAGCACAATTTTAAACTGATAGCGAAAATATTATTTTGCTTCTGTGGCTCACTGTTTATTCAAGAAATGCATCATTTCATCATGGCAATCAATTTAGTTGTTACATCTAGTAATCTATTAACTGCATCTATATTTTGGTCCAACTAGATTTGAGCAATGGAACTTGCATATGCATGTGGGTTGTGATTTAGTTGATAATTTTGTTGAATTTCATAGAATGCACCATGGATGCTTACAATGTTGAGTCTTGTTGGAAGAATACTTTAATTTATTTAGTTTATTCTAAAATGATTAGTTTTGCGAATTCATAATTGATAAAGAGGGTTGCATGAATTTCATGCCTAATTGTATGAATTTGGAACATGAATCACATCATACCCCAATTATGTAAAAGATATATGGTTGAATAAAATTGATATTTTTTTATCTTAGAGATTTTTATTTTCGCTTTGATTAGTTAATTTATAGATTTAGTGTGATGTATTGCTTCTGGACATTGCTTATGCTATTTTGGGCAGACGTTAGCTTTATGAAATAAATATTACTCACGGTGGGAGGTCTAATGTCTTGAAAGGAAAGAGAACAATTCTTTTTTGTTATTCCAATGAGACTAAACAACTGCTTGTCTAAGCAGGAATAAAATGTAGGGAAAAACATGAGATAAGATAAAAAATAAGAAAAAATATAAGCATAATAATTACATAATGCTGGTATTCTTATCGAATAGAGATAGGAATTAGGAGCATGTGCTAGAATTTTTCATCCTAGGATTGGGTGGTGGAGCTAAACCTAAGTCAACCTGGATTCCATTATTATAGCACCTAATTTATGACCATGAGTGCCCAAGAAGTGCCAGTAAAGATTTATTACAGCTCCTTAACAAAATTCATGGGCCAGGACAATGAGTTTCACTTTTGTGCTACATTAGCGATAATCGGCTATTTTTTACTTCTTCAAGTAGCTGAATTTTCATATACAAATATTTAGTAGTTCAAAATATTTATATACCATTTCCTATGAATGTTTTAAGGCTTGTTGAAATAGGGGAATCATATTTTTAGGTTTTGATGGTCCTCCTTGAGTTCAATTTTGCTGTTATAATTTGGAACTAATGTTAGACACCACCTTGAAGTTTGATCTTAATGTCCTTTGCACCTGCTAGCCCATAGAAAGGGTCCCTACTTTTACAAACAATAGCATTGATGTTGATCTTTCTATTATTGAATCTCAACTCCCTCTAATTTGTTAAAACCTGTTGTCCACTTAGGTATCAACACATCAAATGCTCCCATTAGAATCATTCGATAGTATAATAAAAAATTCACTGACGCTCCCTATATTCGGCTTCAAGTATGACTTTCCAAAAAAAAACTTATATTACGGGGAGCTAAGTATTTTAGGTCATATGCTTGTTAACTCGCTAATATAATAGTTAATCATGTTTAATATGTTCATAAAAGCCATCGTCTTTCATGTTTTTTGTTTAGGATAATTGCATATTTTTATATTGTTCAAGTCTCTTCATATGTGCTTTGCTTATGTTTTGCCTGCATATTAATGCAGATTATTGTTGATACGTTTTTAATAATGTTTTTCATAGTTTTTAAATAATTTATGACATTGATACTGGAATGAAGTTTAAATTAGGTCATGTTATGTGGGACTCGTTGACAAAAAAGTGATAATTTAAGCAGGAGGGGATCAAAAGTGGTTTCTAGCTCTTTATAATTGCATGTTTGATAATTGTTATGCGGGAGCCTGTGAAATTATTGCTAACTATATAATTTAGGCTAAACCGCTAATTAATTGTATGATCGCACATTGATTTTGGTTTATATGGGTGTAAACAATGTGCGCGCCCTGGTAGAGGAATTTTTATTCGGTACGTGCACCGCATGAAGCCTTACATGCGGTACCGAATAAAAATTCGCCACGTGGAATGCGATTTCACGTGGCTTTACAGCTTAAAAATAAGCTTTTTCATGTATTCCGACCCGACCCGATATTCATTTTTGACGAAAATTTAAAGCATAAGGCCCTTTCCCGGTTATAACGAGATTTAGTTTCGGCATTTGTTCGGTTCGTTTTGGCTCTTAAGTTAAATATTACTCAACAATTATATATATATATATATATATATAACTGATGAATAGTATTTTTAAAAAAATTAATTGACTACAAGCTTACAAACAATTATTATCAATTAAAAATATTAATTAAGAAAATAGAATAAAAATTATTAATTAGATTGAAATGATATTTTAAGGTAAATAATAATTTTTAAGTTGTCACAAACCTTAACATTTTATGGTTATGTAATTAGGGTTGTCAAATCAATTCTTTGTTTGCGAACAACTCGTGTTTGGCTCGTTGAGCAAATGTGTTGAACACGAACATACTTTTTGAGCTCGAATTATTTCATGAATAAAATATTATGCAATTCTCTCATTTTATTGTTAAGTAGAACACTCTTCTCCCACTTTCTCTATTCCTCCTGTTCTACGTTATATCATTGGGTGTGATTCACAACACAAGCTCAGATTTAACAAACGATATTAATAATTTAAGTAAATAAGGTTAATATATAGAGCATATGAAGATATATAAAAATTGACAGGTAAAGCTATGTGCCTATGCTGTAATCTAACCAACTATCTTAGTTAGCATTGCTTGATTAAGGTAAATTCTAAATTAAAATGCATACCCCTTAATATTTCTATAAATCACCAAACTATTCTGAAGCCCGATAATATAAAAGTAAATCACTTTGAACCATAATGAATTATACACAAAATATATATTCACTTCAATAAATAATTAAATAGGGGTATTTACATACATACCACACCATTCTTATGAATTTACATATCTAACACCTAAATTTTCATATTCACATTTATAACATAAAATTATAACATTAGGGGTTTAAATGAGCCGAGCTTGAGCAAATGTGTTAGTATTCAAGTTTTTTTTTTTTTTTTTTTTTTTTTTTTTTTTTTTTTTTTTTTTTTTTTTTTTTTTTTTTTTGTTTAAAATTGACTCACGTTCAAAATGGCTTTTATTCATTTTCAACTCAAAAAAACTTTCGAGTTTGTTATCAACTCATGTTCGACTCGAATTGGCTCATTTAAATTAATTAAAAAAAATATATGAAAGGTTGAATTCAAACATGCACTATTCTTGTGCATTAACAAACACAATCACTAACAAACTATAGTGATTTAAGCTTGAAATAAATATATATACTATTCTATTATATAAATAATATATCTAACTTTCTTATTTCGAACTAAAACGAGCCAAACACGGTCGAACAAAAAGTTGGTTCATTTATAATTTGAGTATAAAAAAATTTACTTGTGCTTAGCTCAGTTAATGAATGATTCAAACATAATCTACTTAACGAGCTGAAATGAATTATTTGCGAACAAGTTTTTTTTATCGTACTATTTAAAATCACATCAAAATTATCATTATTATTAAAAAGGCTGCAAAAACGCTCATTGTTAACGAACAGTTCGAGTTTGGTTCGTCAAGGAGATAGCATTTGATTTGTTTGATAAGTAAATGAGACGATCACAAATAATTTTTTTTCGTTGAGTTTATAAATGAACCAAACAGGAACAGTCATTTGTTCGATCATGTTTGGAATGTTTATATATATATATAATTTATCATATTTTAAAAAAAATTATATACTCAAAATTTATTGTATTTTAAAAATTTAAATCCTTTAAATTATAATCTGATCTTCAAGTTCACGTCTTTGCTTAAATTTTGTTGTATTTATTTTAAATTTATTTAGTTTTTTTTAGTGAAACCTAGTTTCTGAAGTTTTTGGGAGTGGACTCTCTTATATTGCCTCTAGATCTGAATTTTTATGGATGGGATCTGATATCATGGTTTTGTTGTGAGTTGTGTTTCAGTTATTATGCATTTGTAATGTGATTTATAAATGTTGAAGTTTTTGAAATATTTAAAACAATTCAAACAATATAAGCAAATTTATAAGATTCTGAACAATTTAAACAATTCGAATAATTCAAACATTTCAAACATATTTCAAACAAATCGAACCGGATCCGAACAGTAGTTTCACAAACAATTTTAAAGACGAGCCTATTGCAAACACACTTAATTTCAAACGAACGGAATACAAACATGAGCTCTGTCCGTTCGTGTTTGAATCGTTTACAACCCTAATTATTAACTTAAAAATATAATACACATTTTCAAGTATGGATTTATAAGCCAAAAAGTGTAATAAGTTTAAAGGGGGAAAAGGGGGGCATTTATGGACATAGCACTCAATTCTCATAAACTTCCACGTCTCACTATAACTTTTATTTTTACATGAAGTGCACCCAACTCTTTCATATAACATAAAAAATAGCACGAATTACATTTTATAATGATCAAATTCACTCTTTCATACATAAGTAAAATGTTGAGCCCGTAAATTTGAAAGTTTCAGTTTAAGATAGGCAAATCCGCATTGAGTGCAACTTCTGTAAATTTCCTCAGCTTTAAATATCGAACTGTGTTAGACATGAGAACTGTGTGCTATACACGTAAATTTCCCAACTGTTGCCGGCAGATATATATTGGAGTCCGATGGTTCATTTGAGAAAGAACATTGGGAACTTTAAATTTCATCATTTATTAAATATGACAGAAATTCATTCCTTTCGAATATCAGGGATATTATTCATTGCTTTCCCGGGCAGGTAGGACTCAGCAAAGCAGAAAAATAAATTAATAAAATCATCCTTATTATGTACCCAATGGGTTTATATGTTTAAGGACCAAAATAGTTATATTTACCTTTTTAATGCATTGTTAATACTACGTTTCCTCTGTTTTTTAAATTAACTACGTTTCCTCTGTTTTTTAAATTATACTCTTCCTCCATTTATAAGTGTGTGTGTGTGTGTGTGTACTCTTCCTCCATTTATAAAATATTATATATATATCTATATGTGTGTGTGTGTGTGTGTGTGTGTGTGTGTGTGTGTGTG